TACTAAATGGGTTCTGCCATCCGCCGCATCAACACAAAACACATGAGACTAATGGGAAGGATCTTTAATAAAACTAGGAAACAATACAGGAAAGGCAAAGAGTCTAGTTTCTAAATGAAGCACCCAAAGTTACCCATCCCCTCGTGGGTAAAACTCCATCCATATGGGGTCGGCCCAGAGCAAGGCCCCAAAGCCTGCCACAAGTCTAAAACATCTTCCAGTGGGGACCCACAGAAAAGGGTCACAAACAACCGGACAAGCCCGGAAGGAAAAGAGCAGAATCAACATCAAGATAAAAGCTGCCATTGTCACCTCCCCACGGGTCTCACCCACATCTGTGTCACCTAGTCCACGACCAAAAGACAAGCGCAGTTTCTTCACGTGTTTCTAGGCTCCATGCGCCTCCTCCAGGTCTCCTTCTGGCTCCATCCTGCTCCTTACTCCTTCTCAGTCTCTTCTGCAGCTTCTCCTCTTCCTGCTCAGCTCCACCCTTCCTTGGGTGGGGCAGGGAACCTCCCCCTTTCCTGGGGACCACCCTGTTACACTTTTAGAGACATAATTTCTATTTTTAAGATAAAGCTCACCAGTGTTTTGAAACAAAATTCCCAACCAAAAGAATCATGTGTGTGTGTGTGTGTGTGTGTGTGTGTGTGTGTGTGTGTGTGTGTGTGTGACAAAGGTGAATGTGGCAGTGGAATACTGGAGTGAGGCCAGGCATGTGGGGATAAAAGAATTCACCAGGGACTGAGTGGAGAACAGAAAAGGGAGATATACTGACATAACCTGCAAGGGGGCAGGGGACAAGAAGGGTGACATATGTCTGCATGGAAAGGATTTGAGGCTCTGTTTTACACTGTTTTCATGGGCTTTCTTACTTGGGGCCCCAGTTTGCACCAGTCGTCTGCTGGAATGTCTGCTCTCAAGCACTGGCTTTTTACACACAATGTGTCCTGGCCCTGCTTCTGCATTCTTGGAGCTGAGCTGGGTTTTTCTGGTCATGATGATCAGTCTTAGGGCCCGGTTTTCATGGCAACCTTATGATTTCCTTATCTATTCAAGTCTCCCAAACCTGCCTGCTGGGCAAGGAGGGGCCTAGTGTTTAACCTTGTTACATGAATCCCTACAGTGAAGGCAAATAAACAAAGGTAATGGGTCTACAGCTGAAGAATATGGAAGAGTATGGTTAGCAAGATGAGCAAAGATGCGCAGATGAGAGCAGTGATTAACCAAAAAATAGAAACTAGAAAAAGAGAACAACTCAAAAAGTGGTTGACAGCTAAATTAATTGAACGTGGAGAGAAAGATCAATTGAAGGTATGCTGTAAAGAGGTAATTAAAGAAAAAGGACGAGAACACTTTACTGTTGATGACTTGGTAGCTGAAATCACACCAAAAAGAAAAGCTCTGGTTCCTGACTGTAAAGAAAGAACTTCTACAAAGAATAAGAACATTCCTCGCGCAGCATGCTTGCCTTTAAGATTCAATTAGATTGTTTTGTGGTTTTATTTCTGAAAGTAAAATGACATATTAACAATCATTTTCCAAAATTAATCCTTTTTTTGTATAATGGTATATATTTTTTCAGTAATGATGTATACGTTATATACATGTATAAACGTGTTATTTTAATAAATATCTCATAAATGAGGGGGAAAAGATGTCTGCTTTGTCTCTAATTATACAGATCTTTCTCAAATAAGCTGGCATCACCTCAGAACAAGACTATTCCCAAGTGGTGTGCCACAATTGGAAATGTTGCTCAACAAGATGGGGCCAAAAGAATGAAGATGCTGGTGTTACACCCCCTCATTCCCCAAAGGGAAATGGAACGGCCTAGATGAGTTCTCACCCACGCGCTTGAAAACTCAGGACAAGACTCAAGGGTAGGAACTCGGTGAAAAGTTAATAAAATATTCATCTGCAAGGGAAATGAAAAGAGGGGAGCATGGAAAAAGAAAGGAAAGAGATTACTTAGTCAACATGTCCTACCATTTAAGCTGTCTGAGGTGGAGCCCTGTGTTCATGCAGAAGGCAGGCAAAACCAAGCCCCCTGCAGGCCTACTTGTGTTCGGTTTTATACCAAGGATGGCTGCTTAACTCCAACCTTAATTCCCTGCATTCCCTGCTTCGAGAAGTCAAGAGTCACGGCAGATTCATGCGTGGCATGATGGGAGTAGTCCTTGGTGCCCAGGATATCTTCGGCATGGAGGTGGAGGACAGAGTCCATAAAATATAAGTGGGTGGCGTTTACTCAGCACTTACTATTCCCCCAATATTGGTGTCACCCAGTTCCCACCAGCAAACCAATTTTCATCACTAGCTGAGCCCAATATGAAGCTCTCTAGTGAAAAAACTAATAATTCTCAGAAGCAAACTTTGAGAGCTCGGCTCCCCTTATACTTCTGCTTCCTGATTCTTAATCTTTTCCTCCATAAGTGAAGTTGGGAAACCAAGAGCCAGATGACACTTTCTAATGTTGGTTTGTGTCACAGCTCAGACAGAATCTGGAATCTAAACCTATACCACCACCTTAACCCAGTGGTTGGCTCTGATATTCACAACTAATAAATCTTAGGTTTTTTTCTCTCCCTTAGGGTCTGTGCAGAGCTTTACAGGGGTCTATATATACAGAAGTCTATATCTACCCCGAGGTCTTTGGCATTATTCTACCTCCTTTCTGCTGCCCTAGTGCCAGGTCTAGAGCTACTCCTGTCTGTCACAGGCCAGGAGCTGCATTTGCCATAGCCATGTCGAGGAGGAAAAACTTTTCCTCTACCCTTTTAAATTTATTCTTGGAGGCCTGCAAATTAAACTAACAAATAATAGATTAGCAAGAGAAAAGGCAGACTTGTATTCAAGTACATATGACGTATGGAAGAGTTCCCAGAAAAATGTCACTATGGAAGGTAGTTAGAATTTGAGCTGACAGACCATTTTCAGAGAAGGGGGAGGGGAGAAGAACACTTAAGAAAAATGAAAGACTTCTAAAACAGGGCAATGGAGAAAGGCATTTGTGGGAAAACTAACAAGTTTCAGGAAAAATTAATGGACCCTTAGGAGTATAGATGGGAGATATTAGTCTTGTGACAATGTCTGCTTGCCTACTTCTAGTCAGTCTTCTCTGGTTGTGGGGAGGGGACTTCTTGTTACAGGAGGATTGACATTTAGGTAGATAAGGGAGTTGGCGGGGAGAGTATTCTCAAATGCGCCCAGCTCAAAATTACTTTTATGTTTTAGTGGCTTCTCTGGACCCTTCCAGCCAAGGGTTGGGGGGCTCTGCTGCTAAGAATCAACTGATGCCAGGTTGTGATTGCTGCTGCTGTTGCTGCTCAGTTCTACTGCTTTCCCTGCGGTAAAATCCTGCGGTCCACACCTCTCAAGTTCCTAATGCTAAACCTCACCATGATGTGAGACCATCCTTCCCTGTGTCGCTCATTTCCATCCTGTTCCTGCTCACTGCAGCTTGGGAACCTTTGTCATCTCTTCTGAAATCAATTTTAGTAAATATTCAGATACAAGAATTCTTTCACCTGAAGTGACCTCATTGCCTGGAGTGAGAGCTCCCCCTGTTGAGGAATTTGGACCAAGTCTTACGGTTCTTGGGAAGACTATTTGTCTTTAGGTTCCAGGAACCCAACTCAAAATAACTTAAAATTAAAAAAAATTACTGGGTTACCTAAGGGCAAGTTTGAGGGGAACAAGACAAGCTCTGCCACAATACCATCCAGTCACATGACTCCTTTATTTCTCCATCTTCTGCCTTTTCTTATTTAAACTTAAATTTTTTCCCTTCTAACTTTTCCACTGGTCAACCCAGACTGGGTCTAGGCCATAGCCTTAGGTTCTCAGGAAGGAAAGGGAGTATCTTAGGCTATAGATAAAATCCACCCAGAAGAGGTTTCTGTTTGGCTCTATGTTGAGTCACTTGATCATCCTGAGTCATTCAATGTGGCCAGAATAGGAAGGATTCTATAACTGACAGTCTCAGGAGGACCAAAACGAGTAGGAAGGTCAATTCTAAGTAATGCAGAGCTAAGGTAAATAAAAACAACAGGTGTCTCCTACAACAATGTATGGATAAATACCAGGTCTTCCATAAAAACATAAATAATTTAAAAATGGGCACAGGGCAAAAAAAATGGGCAAAGAACTTGGACATTCCTTCAAAGGTAAACACACGAAAAGATGCTCAATTTCATTAGTCATCAAGCAAAAGCACATCAAAACCGTAAGATACTTCCTACCCACTAGAATGGCTATAATTAAAAAGAAAGGTAATAACAAGTGTTGTCAAGGATGTGGAGAAATCAGAATTATCATACATTGATGTTGTAAGCGTAAAATGGAGTAGACACTGGAAAACTTGAGGGCAGTGCTTCAAATGGTTTAACAGACATCATATAACGTAGCAACTCGCTCATATAGCTCTAAGAGAAATTAAAATACATGGCTGCACAAAAACTTGTACATGATGTTCCAAGCAGTTCATAACCAAAGGGCTCTGGTGATTTTTTTTTTTTTTTTTCAAATCTGCTTAAGGCCAATAATAATGTTTGATACACAGTAGACATTCGAACACTGGCGTATGTGACCAGCAATTATGTACACACACGCGCGCGCGAACACGAAGCCACTAGGGAGGCTGTGAAGAAACGAGCTCCTGAGAGCGCCCCTAATCTCAGAGCTCGCCCCCCAAGTCTCAGGTTGTGGGGGCGAGGTGAGGTAGGAGCGAAGCCCACGACCTTAGAGTCCCGCACCCTGCGCCAAGAACAGCAAAGCATGGGACAGAAGGGCATGGTGAAGCCACCTTGCCCTGCCGAAGGGCGACGCGACGTGACTGTGAAGGTCAAAGAGCCAGTTTCACAGGCCGCGTCGCCACGGGAACCCCAACCGCCCGCCGCGCGACCGTGGGCTGAGAACAATGCGTTCAGCCTAAATGCTGAGGCTCGGGTCGCCGCGCCTGGGGGCGGGGCGGGGCGGGGCCGGGGTTGGGGCAGGGGCCATGCCCATCCCCGGGGCCTGCCGGGAAATGTAGTTTCTGAAATTCCTCTCGCGCAGCCCTCAGCTCGCTGTCCGTGATCGCACGCAACTACAAGTCCCATGACGCTGCGTGAGGCCTTGGTCGTTCGGCTTTTGCTAAGGAAGGGAGTGGGGCGAACATGGCTGAAGGCGTCCGGAGCGGCCCATCGAGTAGCGGGGTGGGGGGCAGGCAGGACCTGCTCTCCAACAGTGGGGGCTCCAACTTCCCCGAGTACGAGCTTCCCGAGCTAAACACCCGCGCATTCCACGTGGGCGCTTTCGGGGAGCTGTGGCGTGGCCGATTACGCGGTGCAGGGGACATGTCTCTGAGAGAGCCCCTGGCACCCACGCTGCCCGGGAGCCGGGGGGTCGCCGACTCCGGACGGGAGGATGCGGCGGTGGCCCGGGATCTGGGGTGCAGCCTGGAGGCAGCAGCCGAGCTGAAGGCGGTCTGCGGGTGAGTGAGGGGCTGAGGGTCTCTTGCTGCCTGGGGCCAAATAGGGTGCTGCCTAGTTTTCTGCCCTCCCCTGGGTCTCATCCTTGGGAGATCCTGTGGTTTATATACCCCAGGATAGTAGCCCTGTGAAAGCTTTCAACATGCTGGAACCTTCCCGGAACACCAGAAATCCTGCGATCGAAATACACAATCTCTGCGAGTTGGAATGAAGGAACGGGGGAGTTGCTTAAAGGTTATTTTTTTCTAGCTCTTATTTTTAAAGTGCTTGTTAATATCGAAAAACAATCAGTAACGGAAGAGACGTGTACTTGTCATTAACACCTGGGCAATGAAGAAATCTCAGTTATTGGTGAGCTGGGAGGAGGCGCAACCTCCTTCCAAGATTAACTGTGGTCTCTTTGGGGGACCTCCCGAGTATACAGTTACTGACGATTTCCCCAAAAGTGCTTGTTTGGGGAGAAAATATGAAAATAACCTTTAATGATGTCATTCTGTGTTTAATAGTAATGACCATCTTCAGTCGACTTATATCCTTTTTCTTTATGGAATGTGGGTACAGAAATCTGCACAGAATTCTGGCCTCTGAGCGGCCTGCTGGATTTTTTTTCTTCTTAACTATTCAGTGATTTATTTAGAACGCCAACCTGATTGCTGAAAACTAGATGCCTGACTGCATTTCCTTCTTTTCTTTCCTGTTTGTTTCAGCCTTGATAAACTAAGGTGCCTTGAGGAAGGTGAAGATCCAGAAGTCCTCCCTGAGAATACTGACCTAGTGACTTTGGGGTATGAATGACCTCACTTTTTATTATGTGCTTTTTATTTTTTAAAGATTTATTTATGCATACAAGAACTGGGGTGCAGGCCAGAGGTGTGGTGGGGGGGTGCAGGTGAGAGGATTCACAAACAGAGTGGGGAACAGAACAGGTGGGTTGACTGAAATACACTGCTGAGCGGGGCAGCAGAGAAACAGACGAGGTCTGCTATGCCATGTGGGTCCCCTCCCAGGCGCGGGATCAAACTGGTGCTGCAGTAGCTGGAGATAGCTGCGTCTTAACCCCTTGTGCCGCCAGCAAGGCCCCTGTGCTGTTTTTTAAAATATTTTTTCCAACATTATATCATTTCGAAGGTGAGAGTATATTATTGTTTTCTGCATACTCACACCCTAAACTCAACCTTTGTTAACATTTGACTATATTTAGTTTAGTATGTGTTTGAAATACCTGCTGTCTTTTTCTCTTGCTGAGCTATTAAGTTTTAGATATGATAATTTACCACCGAATACAATGACATAAAGCTTCTTAAAGTATCATTGTTTTACATATAGTGTATTATTACACCTAAGAAAATTAGCAGTAAATACATAACCTCTAATAATATCCAATCCATATTCAAATTTGTGTTTACTTTATCTTTTTTAAAGATTTATTTATTTATGCATATAAGAGCTGGGATACAGGCCAGAGATGTGTGTGAGAGAGAGAGAGAGGATTCACCAGAGACAGAGTGGGGAACAGAACAGGCAGACTGACTGAAATACACTGCTGAGGGGAGCAGCAGGCAAGACAGGAGAGGTCTGCTGCGCCATGTGGTTTGTTCCCTGGCTGGCAGGGGATCCGAATTCGTCCTGCAGTCTGAGGATTGCTTCATAGTGTGGTGCTTAACCCCTTGCACCACCAGGGAGGCCCTGTGTTTACTTTAAATGAATGTTTACAAAGGAAATCTACCTAAGACTTACGGTGCAGCTAAATAGTGTTTCTTAAAACTCTGGTAAAAGATCAAGTTTGGATGTTTTGTTTTTTACAGATGCATACTTTTGTAAAAATGAATTCCTAGAAAAATTGGGATTAAGAGACAAATATATTAGAAAGCTAACATTTTTTATCATTAAAAAGTAAAATTATTGTCACATTGCTATAAAAGTTTTTAAGTGGTTATTCTCTCTGTATTGATCTGAATACTCACAGGTAATTCATTCTGATAGCCATACTTTGAGAAAAACTGCTCACTGTAGATAATATAGTACTACATAATTTTCATATAATTATGCATGTAGTGGTGAAATTTATAATTTCCAGTTTGCAGCCCATTTCACACCATTTTGCTATGACTGTCATAGTAGGTCCAACTCTTTCTATTGTCCACTTCAAAAATTCAGGCAGTCATATTGTTAGGGGGAAAGGATGTCCTGAGCTAATTCCATGCAGGCTTTGTGGACTCCACCCCCACTCCAGACCAAAGCCATCAGGACATTGGGAAAGACAAATCCCGTCACCACCAAAGGGAAGGTTGCTGGGACCTGAGGGTGGAGTTAAGCAGCCAGGGTTGGTATAAAAACCAAACATGTGGGCCTTGGGGGGCTCGCTCTCTTGCTCACCTCCTGGCTTCATGGCTCCAGGCTTGTGGCCAGCTCTCAGAGAGCCATTTGGGATTCCAGATCGGTGGATCGGGTAGGACGCATTTAAAACTTTATCTCCCACTTTTCTCCCTGAGTTGTACATTTCCTCATTTGCTGTTCCTTTGTAAATAAACCTTTTATTAACCTTTTGTGTGTGCCTGCAGTAGAGTATTGATAAGTCCCTTTAAGCACATGTGTGAGGACCCACAGTCAGGCAACTCATTTTGTATCGGGGCTGCCCTGTAACTGTTTCAACTCTGCTTGGTTTCTTTTGTAATATCTGGCAAATTTATCACCCACGACAAATATTTGTATTAGTGATACTTGGAGCTATGTGAAAGGCTTCTTTGCTAAGCCTGTACTGTTTTCTCCTTCAGATTTATGTATAATGTTATTGCCTAATCTTGCTGCTTTGCTGAGAGATTGTCAGCGATTCTTTCTCCTGTAGACATATTTCAGACTTCTTACATATTTCAGACTTCTTAAGTCATCTGAAGCCTTCCACATATAATCCCAGTCTGCATTTTCAGATTTATTTTCAACCACTTTCTTTTCCAAATGGTTCAGGATGCACATGCCCTCTTCCATTTGAAGCTCACCTTAACTTTGAGACCCTGGTTCCTTTCAACATTACCAAAACCGATCTCCTGTCCTTAGGATTCAATAGGTGTATTTATAATGTTTTGAATTCTTCTAGCATTTCTAAAGTCCTTGTAGGCTCCTTGAGAATCCGAACTCCTTCCTCTATATATTGCCCTTAAGCTTATTGTGCTGCTTTCTATTTAACTATTGTTGAATATTTAGTGTATCTGATTGTGAAACTCTCTTACTTAAAATTTTTCAGGTGCCTTAGGCAAAAGTCCTGAGTTCTTAAGTGACTCAAAAGTGCCTCTGTAGAATGGATCTTGATCTTTTTTAGCTTTATGCCATGCTCCAAAAGCACTAAACCTTTTTTACAGCCTTTGCCTAAAATATTCACTCTTCCTTATCCTCCTGGTCTTTTTTCTTTTTTTCCTTACTGCTCTTACTGACTTCTGAGCAGCCTTAGAATCTTAGGTGAAGTTCTGAGGACTACATTTAGATCTCATTTTATGATAGTGTAACCACTATACTTTTCTATTGAAATCAAAATACTCATCACATTTATAATATACTTATTTTGAGTTTTCTGTTTTCGTAACTAAAAGATTCCATAAGATATATCTGTCTTACACACGCTGTTATATTTCCATTTCTTATAGCTTTGACACATAATAACGAATGAATAGATATTTATAGAATGAGTGGAATAAGTGAAATTTTCATAAACCAGAAGAAGTCTTAGAAATTGCCTAGAAAAAGAATTTTGGTGATAATTATAAGCAAAGCATAATAATCTTTTGCTATAGTTAATAACATCCTAATTGACGTATACTGATTTTATTAACCCTTGTTAAATAATAATTTCAAGACTGCTTTACACTTTGCTTCCCCTGGCTGTTTTCTGCTACTAGATCAATAAGATCTCCCTGGCTTTATTCTAGTCCTTTCCTTAGGAAATGTGGATAGAATTATAGAAGTAATATAAAAGGAGTTAGTACAGCATTCCTCAACTGGGATTTTTTGATGTTCTTTGAAGCTGCTGCATTTAAGATAGCACTAATAATAATCTTAACAGGACTGCAAGTAAATTAAACTTGTGCCAACAGCCAAAATCTGTGTCTCTATGCTTTTTTCTATAAACCTACCTTTTTTCCCCCTAACAGTACCTTAAAAATATAAAAATAAAACCTGAATCAAAGCACATGATCCCTTTATTGTGGAATAAAATAAATAAATTTCTAGCACTTTTTCCTTTTCCCTGTGTAGCAAAAGAGCTACTTGACTCATTTTGTGCATGTAAGGAAGTGGGGAGAAAGGCATCTCTTAGATATTGATTCTCCTTTGATACATGTTTTTGCTCCTTATTCCATAGCAAGCTAAATAAGTTATCTTTACCACTTTTGAATTTTTTTTTTAATTTATTTATTTATTTATTTATTTTATTTATTTATACAAGCACTGGGTACAGTCAGAAGCACAGGAGGGTGAGAGAATTCACCAGAGCCAGAGCGGGGAGCAGAGCAGGCAGAAGGACCGAAGTACACTGCTGAGGGGAGCAGCGGGCGGCAGGAGAGGTCTGCCCGCCATGTGGGACCCTCCCCTGGTGGCCGGGGAGCAGCCGGGGATCGAACCGGCGCTGCAGAGGCTGTGGGCAGCTTCGCAACCCAGCACTCAACCGCTGCGCCACCGAGGAGGCCCACTTTTGAATTTTTTTGATGAAAGAAAGGATTTTATTTTATTTTTTTTTAAAGATTGATTTATTTATGCATATAAGAGCTGGGGTACAGGCCAGAGATGCGGGGGGTGAGAGGATTCACCCAAGACAGAACGGGAAACAGATCAGGCAGATTGACCAAAGTACACTGCTGAGGGGAGCAGCAGGTGAGCCAGGAGAGGTCTGCTGCGCCATATGGGTTGCTCCCTGGCCAGCCGGGGATCGAACTCGCGCTAGAGGCTGAGGATTGCTTCATAGTGTGGTGCTTAAATTAACCCCTTGCGCCACCCAGGGAGGCCCCGAAAGAGAGAATTTTACTTTGTAGATTTAGGAGAGATAGATAATTTTACTACATGAGTGCTACTGAAACTAACCTGTCATGTTTAGTACTATTATTACAATTTTTTTTTTAATTATTGAAGTAACATTGGTTTACAAAATTGTAAATTTTAGGAGTACAACTTCAAATGTACACCACACCGTCCCTCCCATCAAAGTTCTAATAACCTTCTGCCACCTTCTAACTGACCCCTTCTAGCCATTCCTCTCGCCCTTCCCATCCCTTTCCTCCATGGTATCTGCAGGTGTCAGAATCCAAGGATTTGCTTTTGTTTTGTTTGCTTAGTTTCTTTATATACTACATATGAGTGAAGTTGTCTGATATTTCTCTCTCTCTTTCTGACTTATTGTACTTAGCATAATCCCTTCAAGATCCATCCAAGTTTTTATAGCTGGATGGCATTCTATTGTGTGTATTCTATTGTGTGTCTATAGCTCATCTCCTTTATCCTGTCATCTGTCATGGGTGTTAACGTTGTCTTCATATCTTAGCTGTTGTAACTATTGCTACAATGAACATAGGACTGTTTAAATCTTTTTTGAATAGTGTTTCCGTGTATAACTAGAAGTGGAATTACAGGGTCATGTGATAAGTTCTATTTTTAATTTTTTTGAGAAATTTCCATACTGTTTTCCAAAGTGGCTGTGCCAGTTTATATTCCCACCAGTAGTGTATGAGGGTGACTTTTTCTCCATACCCTTGCCAGCACTTGTTTCTTGTCTTTTTGATAGGGACCATTCTTAACAGGTGTGATATGACATCTCATTATGGTTTTGATTTGTGTTTCCCTGATGATTAGGGATGATGAAGATCTTTTCATGTGCCTGTTGGCCATCTAAATGTCTCTTTGGAACCATCTCGGCTCATTTTTTGATTGAGTTGTTTGTTCTTTTTATATGCTAGGTATTAATCACTTGTCATATGGTGGATTGTGAATATCTTCTCCCAATCCATAGGTTGCCTTTTCATTTCCGTGGTTTTTTATTTTACTGTACATAAACTTTTCAGTTACATATAGTTCCACTTGTTTATTTTTGTTTTTGTTTCCCTTGTATAAGAATTTAAATCCCTGAAGACATCTCTAAGGCCCATGTCCATATACGTATTGTCTGTTTTCTTCTAAGTGATTCATGATTTCAGTCTTTCAACTTGTTAATTCATTTTGAATTAATTTTTGTGTTGGGTATAAGATAGTGGTCTAGTTTTGGTTCTTTGCTTTTGTGACAGTTTTCTCAATTTCATTTACTGCAGAGTCTTCCTCCTCGTTGTATGCTCCTGATCCTTTATTATAAAGTAACTGTGCAAATAGATGAGGGTTTATTTCTGGGCTCTCAGTTCTTTTCCACTCATTTATGTGTCTGTTTTTATTCCAATACCATACTGTTTTGATTACTATAACTTTGTAGTATAGTTTAAAGGCAGGACGCATGATGCATCTGTTTTTCTTCTTTAGTTCTTTAGGATCATTTGTGTACCCATACAAATTTTAGTATTGTTTGTTCTATGGTGTCTGATATTTTGCTTGAAGTAAGATGGCCATTTTAACATTGTGATTCACCCAATCTATAAACATATACTATCTTTTCATTTCTATGTTTCTTCTATTTCTTTTCATGGTGTCTTATAGTTTTAAGTATATATGTTTCACTTTTTTTTTAAAGATTTATTTTTATTTATGCATACAAGTGTAGGTCAGAGGTGCGGGATTAAGATGATTCACAAGGGGCAGAACAGGCGGATCAACTGCTGAGGGGAGCAATAGGTGGGACAAGAGAGGTCTACTGCACCATGTGGGCCAGCTCCCTGATTGGGGATTGAATTCATGCTGCAGTGGCTGGCGACAGGTTGATAGTGCTGATTTTAACTCCTGTGCCACCAAGGAGGCCCATGTTTCACTTTTTTTGGTTAGATTAATTTCTAGGTATTTATATTTGATGTAATTGTAAATGGAATTGTTAATTTCTTTTCCTTCTAGGTTATTGCTTGCCTATGGAAATGCAACAGTTTTTATGTATTGATTTTGTAGCCTGCCACTTTACTGTACTGGTTTATTTTATGTTTTATGTATACATGCATACATTATATATATATACATTTTATGTATTATGTATTTTTTGTGGAATATTTTGGGTTTTCTGTGTATCATCCGCCAGTAGTAATAATTTTACTTCTTTTCCAAATTCCACACATTTTATTACTTTTTCTTGTTTAATTGCTCTGGCACAGACTTACAATACTATGTTGAATGGTAAGCATGGACAGCTTTATGTTGTCCCTAATGTTAGAGGAAAACTCTCAGTTATTTTTCGTTGAGTAAAGTATGAGTTTGTCATGCTTGGCCTTTATTATTTAAGATATGTTCCTTCTATCCCTATTTTATTGAGAGCTTTATCATAAATAGATGTTAAATATTGTTAAATACCTTTTCTGAATCTATTGATATGATTATATGATTTTTATCCTTCCCTTTGTTGATGTGTATTGGAAAAAATTGGCTTGTTTGTTGGAACCATCCCTGGGAAAATCATACTTGGTCATGATATTTCATCTTTCTGATGTATTGTTAAATTCAGTTTGCTAAAGTTATGTTGAGGATGGTCTATGTTTTCTGTTTTTGAGATGTCCTAGTCTGCTTTTGATATCAGGGTTATATTGCCTTGCAAAATGAATTTGGAAGTGTTCTCTCTCCTTTTCTATTTTTTGAAAGTTTGAGAAGGATAGGTATAAGATATTATGTGAAAATTTGGTAGAACTCACTGGTGAAACCATTTGATTCTCTTGTTTTAGGGGGGAGACTTTCAATTTCCTTACTTGTGATCAGTCTCTTCGGCTTTTCCATTTCCTCCTGATTCAGTCTTGAAAGAGTGTATGATTCTAAGAATTTGTCCACTTTTTAGATTGTGTAATTTATTGTCATATATACATTCATAGTAGTCTGGTGGTCCTTTGTAGTTCTGTCTTATCTATTACAAATTCTTTTGCTTCTGATTCTGCTTATTACACTTGTTTCTTTTTTTCTTAATAAACCTAGCTAAAGACTTGTCAATTTTGTTAATCTTTTCAAAGAAGCAGGTTTCATTGATCTTTGGTATTATCTTTTTGAGTTATGTTATTTCTGCTCTGATTTTTATCATCTTACCACTACTAACTTTGACTTCATTTATTCCTTTTATTTAGTTCCTTCAGGTGTAAAGTTAGATTGTTCATTTGGAATTTTTCTTGACTTTTGATGTATTGCTATAAAATTGCCCTTAAGTACCACTTTTCCTGCATCCCATAGATTTTGATAGCTTGTTTCTTCATTTTTGTTTTTCTCAAAGTAATTTTTAATTTCTCCTTTAATTTCTTCATTGACTTAGTAGTTATTTAGTAGCAAATTATTCAGTAGCACAGTTAGTTGTTCAGCATCCACATAACTGAAATCTCTCCAGCTTGCCTTTTGTGCTTGATTTCTTGTTTCATACCATTGTGATTAGAAAACAGACATGATAAGAGCTCAGTCTTAATAAACTTATTAACACTTCTTTTGTGAAAAGCATACAAATGTATGATATCATACAAATGTATGATAAAAGCCACAAACCACATCAGGATAGACTATGTATGATTATATATACACCAAATAATATAACAATGTTAAAAAAAAGTTATAGGAGATGCTAGAAAATATAATTATGAATGCATTAACAAATAGGACACTATGTTAACCTCAGTACATGGCTTTTAAATATAAAATTAATTCAATATAAAAAAATATAGTTCATTTTTAAAAAGTTAGCTATTAAAGATGTTTTATAAACCCAATAAGACATATTGAAATTTGATATTCCCTATGTTTATAACAGGGTTAGAAAGAGACTTATGGAACATCGGGAAGAAACCATAACGATAGATCGGGTCTGCAGACAAGAAACATTTGCTTATGAGATGGTAAGAATCGTATCTTTTACTTTTTCCCAGGAAACATAAGCTATATCACTGGATGAGTGTTAAGGATGACTGTATTGTATCTTTATATTGGCTATGTGTAGTTGAAAACAAGCTACAGAAATTTCACTGGAACTGGAAGCTAGTAGAAGAAAAGGCCCATAGAATCCAAATGCTGGCATATGTGACTCTTAAGTTCCTGCCTCTGTTTTTGTTTTTAGTATTGTCTTGCTCTTTGTGTTAGGCTAATTCATGCTCTTTTTGCACCCAATTACTGCAGTTTTGGTCTGATTCTGATTTTTGCTTTAACCACCTTCATTCCTAAATCTGTTGTCTGTTAGGTAAAAATCCTCAGAGAAATTTAAGAAGTTGTGAAGAATTCATTTAGTATGTATTCTTAAACTACATAGAGAACCTACTGTGTGTCAGATACTTTGTTGGTTACTTGATAATACACTAGGGCATCTATTATCCCACTTTTTTTGTGTGTGTGGTTAAATTTACATAACAAAATTTAGTATTTTAACCATTTTTAAATGTTCAATTAAGTAACTTTAAGTATATTCACATGCTGTGTATCACCACTATTTCCAGAACTTTTTCATCATCCCAAATAGAATTTTTTTTTAAGATTTTTATTTATTTATGCATACAAGAACTGGGGTGCTGGCCAGAGGTGTGGGGGTGAGAGGACCTATTAGAGACAGAGCTGGGAGCAGAATAGGTAGATACATTGAAATGCACTGCTGAAGGGAGCAACAGGCTGAGACAGGAGAGGTCTGCTGCACCATGTGGGCCAGCCTCCTGGCAGGGATTAAACTTGAGCTGCAGTGGCTGCCAATAGCCCCGTAGTGCTGAGACTTAACTCCTTGCCCTACTAGGGAGGCCCCCAAACAGAATTTTTAAACGCATTAAACAATGAATTCCCCATTTTCCCTTCCTGTAGCTTTTGGTAGCCTCTGTTCAACTTTGTCCTTTTTCAGCATTGTTTTGACTGTTAATGGTCCTTTGAAATTCTATATGAATTTTAGGATGGGTTTTTCTATTTCTGGGGGAAAACACCACTGAGACTTTTATAGGAATTGCATTGAATTTGTGTATCTTTTTGGGTAGTATTGTTTTTTTACCAACATTACGTCTCCCAATCCATGAAGAGATGTTTTTCAAAATATTTAGGTTGTGTGTATTTCTAAGTATTTTATTTCTTTTGGTATTTCTTTAAATGGAATTGTTTTTGTTTTCTTTCTTTTTTTCTAGTTTACTTTGTTGTTTGCATTTTTGGAGTACAGACTCCCCCTTCGTGTGTTATTAATACACAGTACACCCTCCATCACAGCACCCGTAGTCCACCACCAGAGTCCACTCTGTTTCCTCCCCATTTTGTTCTCTCCCCTATCTCTTGCCCCTCTGGATGCCTCTCTTCTATAGTGAGCTTTCCAGAGTTCGTTTTTAAGTTTGGTATTATCTGACCCTTTCTTTGGTTTCTCTATATTCCACTTATTGCTGATAACATCTGGTATTTGTCTTTCATCTTCCGACTTATCAGGGTAGATACCTACAGGTGGAATTGCTGGGTCATATAGCATATTCATTTTTAATCTTTTGAGGTACCAGGAGTCACATGTCATAGGGAAAAGGCCTGAAAACCCAGCTGACATGATTAAAGAAGGAGAGCTTATCCTATCTGTGAATATCTTGTATCCTGTTATATTTCATAATATACTGTTTTCCATATGGCTGAACCAGTTTGCATGGAATTCTTATCTTTTTTTTTCTTTTAAGATTTATTTATTTATGCATACTAGAACTGGGGTACAGGCCCCAGGTGCAGGGGATTGAGAGCATTCATCAGAGACAGAGTGGGGAGCAGAACGGGCAGATTAACTGAAATACACTGCTGAGGGGAGCAGCGGGCGAGACAGAGAGGTCTGCTGTGCCATGTGGGTATCTCCCTCCCCAGATGCGGATGGAATTCGCGCTGCCGAGGCTGCCGATGGATAGCTTTGTAGTGCTGTACTTAACCTCTTGCGCCACCAGGGAGGTCCTACATAAAGTCTTTTCTTAATATCCTTTTACAAAATATGTAAAAGTATTAGTAACTATGAATGCCAGTGTTATACCATTAGTTGATATCTCTGCTTTATCATCAGTTCATAAGCCAAGCATCTTATTATATGCTTTATGTACATGGTCTCAGCAAGAATTCCATAAAATTAAATATTTTCTGTTTTTCACAGAAATAAAGTTAAAACTTAGCAAGGTTTTAACAATTTTCTTGAAGTCGAATTAGTAGCCAAACCCAGGGCTGTCTGACTCAGCCCTTGCTTATAGCCATTGTTCCACACTGCCTCTTATCTGAGTCACAATGTCTGATTTTAAGGTCTTTTACTGATTCATTTTCCTTCTTCAGGAGTCACATGCCATAGGGAAAAGGCCTGAAAACCCAGCTGACATGATTAAAGAAGGAGAGCTTATCCTATCTGTGAATATCTTGTATCCTGTTATATTTCTTAAGGTCAGTAAAAACCTTTGGACTTCACTGATAACTTGTAACTTCTGTCAAAGGATTTAATTTGAAAATTCACATTCCTTAGGGTTCAAGATATATATAAGCATATGTTATCTAATATCCTGTCTATATTCTTGGGTTCTTTGTTTTAGTGATAAATATCTTAACTTGATTTTAAAACCAAAATTTAAATATGCTTGATCAATAGGGTTATAGTTAGTTGGGTTATAGTTAGAGTGTTGGAATATATATTTGATGTCTGTACTATAAACAACTGAAAGCATATATAAATCCACAATAATTCTGTTATATGAATTCTCAAGACTCTTTTTTTTCAAGATTTATTTATTTATTTATATAAGCACTGGGTACAGTCAGAAGCGCAGGAGGGTGAGAGAATTCACCAGAGTCAGAGCAGGGAGCAGAGCAGGCAGAAGGACCAAAGTACATTGCTGAGGGGAGCAGTGGGCGGCAGGAGAGATCTGCGCTCCATGTGGGACCCTCGGGGGATCGAACTGGCGCTGCAGAGGCTGCGGGCAGCTTCGCAACCCAGCGCTCAACCGCTGCGCCACTGGGGAGGCCCAACTCTTAAGACTTTTTTGCAGAATAGGTGACTGGTTGAAGGAATGGGGTGACATCTGTGTAGTAATTCAGAATACTTGGGGAGTTATTAAATGAACTGAACATAGTTATTCTTTGATGAAAATGCAGAAAGTTTATAGGTCTGGGGTCCAGGAATTTCTTAGGAATGTGTAATAAAAAGAATTCTGTATATTTTTGATTCTCCAAATAGATGGCATTAAGTTTGACAAGATTTTATTGAAAATTACTATATATAAATTGTACTTATTGATAAATAGATTTTTTTGAACCATCTGGATATATTTAGTGCTAATTACTTTAGACTGGTATCTCTATCAATTAGAAACAGTAGAACAAAATCAATACAACTTAATTTCTGGATTTATAATGTGAGTATAGGGTATAGATTAATTGCCTGACTTTAATGAAGTAACTTCTAAGAAATTTTAAAAGACAGTAGTGGTAATGAAGTTATACTCCAGAGGCTCTTCATCCTGTCATTTGTCATTTTAGTGGGATCCTAAAAAAAGTTTTATTGCCACATATCATAGTCTTCATAGTCTGTTCAGTCTGCTGTAACAAAACACAGACTGCGTGGCTTATCAGCAGCAAAAGTTTATTTCTCACAATTCTGGTAGTCCAAGATCATGGGGCCAGTGGAGTTGCTTGAGGGCACTCTTCTGGGTCTCAGACTTCTTACATGGAGAAGGGTCTCTTACAGGAGCACTAATCCCATTCATGATGGCTTCCCCTCATGACCACCCACTGGTCCCCATCTCAGTAACATCACTTTGTGAAAAGTGAATGGGGGAGGGAGGAAAGGAACAGCACAAACACTCATGATACATCACCAGGTATCATGTTGTTCCCATGGGATTTTAATTTATGGAGGTAGATGAGTGACAACACTGAAGGCCAATGCCATTTAAAGATTTTTATTACATTCATTTTTCTGAGTGGACAGGACAGTACTTCTCCATGCAGCACCAGGGTGTTAGGAGGCAGAAAGGAGGGAGGGGAAAACATAGACCACAGCCTTCATAGGGTTTCCATGGGAAACGCAAAGCAGGTTAAAGAGCTTAGGAATGGGTAGTTGGAATAATTCCAGTGGACTCTGGAATGTCAGGATTGCCCCTTGTTGTTTAGTAGCTGGTTCTGGGTTGATTTAGGAAAAATACTGTCTTGGTGTGTGAGAATTAGGTAGAGAAGGTGGATTACAGGGGAGATATAAACAACTTTGGTCATTAGTTTGGACCTATAATTAAAAAATGCCAAATGGACACTCAATCTGAGAAAATACAGAACGCCAAGCTGTAGAGATAAATTAAGAAAACTAGTAACTTAGTTAGATGTGATCATTATAGAGTTTATAGTTGAATTGCTGTCCCTAAGTGGATACTTATTTACCATTTGACTTTTAGCATAAAGAACACAAACCATACCAGACAATGTTGGTACTGGGCAGTCAAAAACTCACAGAACTGAGGGATTCAATTTGCTGTGTCAGTGACCTACAGATTGGTGGAGAATTCAGCAATACTCCTGACCAAGCCCCTGAGCACATCAGCAAGGTAAGGTGATTTTTTTTACCCCCGTAAAATGATAATAAGCTAGGGAAATAGGAATTACTCTAGTAGGCTCATGAATAATCTAGTAAATATTTTCTTCTGTGCCATATGTCACTGTACTATCATTGCCCTTCTCTATAGCATCAAGACTTTTTCAATGATTACGCTAAACTTAGTTTTGATTTCCTCATCTCCCATTAATTTCTCAGTCATTCCACAGATAATCTTCCTTCTAAGGTCATACATAGTAAACAATTATCTAACCAGTTGGTCTTTTTTATATTCATTCAACTTGTCTTCATTATAACATTTGGATTTGTTATTCATTTTCTCCTCTTTCAAACTCTGTGTGAGTTTCAGTCTAGCTTAACTTCCCCCCAGCAAAGGAGTCAGGATTCATTTGCAAGTCTCATTGCCCATCATTGCCCATCATTGCCCATCAAAAGACCTGTCAGTGCAAATAGCAAACAGGGGCATAACATCTGGTATTGGTCGTTGCTAAGATTTCCCAGAGTGGTCCTCTCAAAATCACAGAAAAACCCTACATACTATATAAAGATAGAAAGGAGTAAAGTGCCAGGCCACCCACAAAGTTTTCAGAGGGATTATTTCACCAATAAAGTAGCCAATAAAACCTTGATCCTTCTGAGTTTCATCATAAGGCAAGATTGAACTAATTCTGTTACCTGGTACAACTCAGGCAGAGAACTTCAGATTTACTGGCCCACTTAACAGTAATATCTGTCAATCAGTATAAAAAGATATTTGGAGCAACTAGAATAGAGTCCTCTGATCCATAGTCAGACACATCCATGGCACCATTGGCCCGCACATGTAACTAGAATAGAAATCAAGAGTTTGGACAAGAACCAACACAATCTTTTTTTTTTTGCTGGTTCCTGTGCCACCAGCCACATAAATAACTGTTATAACTGAGGTTCCATCTTAGTTACTTTATCAAAATTTTTTTCCTAGACTTTTCCCCATTTTTGTGGGGTTTTTTGTTTGTTTTTAAATAAGAATTTTCTCTATTGATAAAGAAATTAAGATTTTTTTTGTTTTTTTTAACTGAATAATATTGCATTATAACATTAAGTTTCCAGTGTGCATCACTGATAACCAACATGTGTATATATTACATTAAGCTCACCTCTAAAAGTCCAATTCTGCCTTTCACCAAACAGTTGTCCCCTTTGCCTGATTCACCTGTCCCCACTTCATGTCTGGTGACTGCGTAATCCAGAAGTTTTAATCTTGTTTTGTTTAGTTTATGTTTGTTTTCTGTTTGGTTTTAAGTATACTGCAGTCCTTGCAAATCTCTCTAGCCATTTTCTCTCCTGATTTTTTAGCCGTTAAGTGCCTATTGGACATATCCACTTAGGCGCAGGGGTATGTGGCATTTTTACTGCATTTCTGTAGTTAATTTACTCTGCTGCTTTTCAAAGCGTCTGTTTCATTCCCTCTGAAACTGCCACCATCTTTTCCAAATTGAAAACTGCTTATTTCACTGAGAAGATAAAATTACCACAAAGGAATTTTCTGTCATCTGTAGCCCACTTTTACCTATCAACCCATCTGTCTATATGTTCCACCTTCCTATACCTGTTGCAATGTGTGGAATAAATCTTCTCTGTCCAAGGCTGGATTCCATCCCTGACTGCATAATCAAGGACTTCATTCTTATAAATATCCCCTCTTCCCTGCATCATCAGTTTTTTTTCCATTATATTGACTCGCCTGTCCATGTATAAATGTGCTGTAACATTTCCCATTTTAATAACCTCATCCTTGACCATATATCTTCCCTTAGCCACCACCTTATCTTCTCAGCTGACTCAAGAGTTGGCATAGTTAAAGATATGAACCTAAAATTATTGTTTCCCTTCTTGCCCCACCTTGTCTTACACTCACTTCTTTTTTACCAAAATCACTCTTATTAATGTGGTCTACCATGGACTCTTCTCATCTTATTTAACCTCATCAGCATATGACACAATTCAATATTCCTTTTTCCTTGAAGCACATCACTTGGTTTTTTATTTTTTTTTTTTTATTTTTTTATTTATTTATTTTTTTTTTTTATAGAGGCATGCTTTATTAATTTGTTTGCTGGTTTCTTTGTTTGTTTTGTTTATACATGCACTGGGTATAGTCAGAAGTGCGGGAGGGCGAGAGAATTCACCAGAGCCAGAGCGGGGAGCAGAGCAGGCAGAAGGACCGAAGTACACTGCTGAGGGGAGCAGCGGGCGGCAGGAGAGGTCTGCGCGCCATGTGGGACCCTCCTCTGGTGGCCGGGGAGCAGCCGGGGATCGAACCGGCGCCGCAGAGGCCGCGCGCAGCTTCGCAACCCAGCGCTCAACCGCTGCGCCACCGGGGAGGCCCACATCACTTGGTTTTTTGGTCATTAGACTCACCTGTTTTTCTTCCTCTCTGACTTTTAATTGCTTTGTATGACATCTTCCTGACTTTAAAAATTGTTATGCCCTGTTAGCCAATCCTCAGGCCTTTCCTCTATGTATACTCCCTAGGCAACCATGTCCAGATTCGTTGTTACAAATATTAGGACTCCCAAATTTACAGTTAGTTCAAATATTGTCTGTGAACCCCAGGCACACATCAGGAATATTGCAGATCCTGTTCTCTACCACTGCAATAAAGTAAATATCTCAATATAGAAAATCCCATGAATTTTTTGGTTTCCCAGGGCATGTAAAAGTTATATTTATATTATATTGTGGTCTAAAGGTCCAATAGCATTCTGTCTAAAAAACAAGGTACATACATAAGTTAAAAAATACTTTATCACTAAAAAATGAAAAAAATGATTAGTTGATGTTGGAAAAATAGTGTTGGTAGACTTGCTTGACACAAGTTACTGCTAACCTTCAGCTTGGGAAGCAGCACAACAAGACAAGGTGTGCTTATCTATCCAGTTGCTTCCTTGATGGATTTTATTGAAATCTAACAATATGTTCAAAATCAAACTCTAATCTTTACCTTTCCCAGTGTTCTCACCTCAATATATATGCCTTTTCTATACCTGGTTGCTTAGGCTAAACACCTTAGAATCATCATTGTTTCCTTTTCATCCCACTTGGAAAGTGTCAGCAAGTACTTAGACTCTACTTTCAAAATATTTTTAGGATCTTGCCATGTCTCAGCATTTTCACAGGTACCAGGCTGGATATCCCACCACTCTTTCCTGGGGCAGCATCCTACTACCAATTCTTGCCTCTCCATATTTCTGCTTATCTGCTGTACAAGCCAGAATTACATTGTTAGGTAGGATCATGTTGCTTTTTCAGTTCAAAAGGCTTCCTTTTATATCTAGAATAAAATAGTCCTTATTGTGGTCCACACGTGGTCCATTACTTGGTCTTATCTACCTCTGAGCATCATACCTTAACACCCTTTCCTTTACTGCTGCTTCAAACCACGCTACCATTCTTTGTTGCTGCTCACATACACTATGCACTTCTGCACAGAACCTTGGTATTTTCTATTCCCTCAGTCTAGAATGTCCCTGCTCATATAATTCAGATGGCTCACTCCTTCATTTCATCTTGATCATAAGTATCTCCTCTTATAGAATGGTCATTCCCTGCTGCATCGAGATTAGTATTCTCTTGCCCACTCATGCTATGTACTTATTACTAGTACCCATCACTACCTGACATCATGTTACATGTTTACCTTCTATTACTTAAATATAAGCTCTATGAAGATACTTTGTTTTGTTTAGTGATTTTATCTTTATTCCTGCAAGTGGTTGGCACAGAGGAAGCACCCAAGTGACTGTTGAATAAATGAATGAACCATAGCTATCTCAATCTCAAAGTTTAATTAAAATTAATTTCCTTATACTACCACCTCCTTTTTGTTCAGATGAAAAACTCCCTTTTTATTCCGAGTTATTCTGCCATAATAACTTCACACTCAGTTTTATCCATTATCATCGGCTTTAGTTCAGACTTTCTGCATCTTCTCGTGGAACTATTATAGCGATTTCTAACTCTTCTTCCCACCTTTAGACCATTGTTTACATACAACAAATTTATTTATTTATTTTATTTTTAATTTTTTTTTAAAGAGGCATGTATTTTTATTTATTTATGATTTATTTATTTGTTTGTTTGTTTGTTTATACATGCACTGGGTACAGTCAGAAGTGCAGGAGGGTGAGAATTCACCAGAGCCAGAGTGGGGAGCAGAGCAGGCAGAAGGACCAAAGTACACTGCTGAGGGGAGCAGCGGGTGGCAGGAGAGGTCTGCGCGCCATGTGGGACCCTCCTCCGGTGGCTGGGCAGCAGCCGGGGATCGAACCGGCCCTGCAGAGGCCACGGGCAGCTTCAAACCCAGCACTCAACCACTGCGCTACCGGGGAAGCCCATATATACAACAAATTTAGATGTGATCCCATATTCTGGGTGGGATGTTTAGATCTGCTCTCAAATTGCGTAGCACTCCCTGTCTTGCATATACACTTGAGATAGTCTGTGTTGTTGCAGTTGACGGGACCCCAAAGCACCACTCACTGGGTTTGGCTTTCTCATAAACCACCTCCAAGTAGATCTCATATGCCACATCCTGCTGTGCACAGCACAGCCAATCTTATAAGGGTGTCTGATGTCAATGCTGGGTGGAATGAAAAAATGGTGGAATGAAAAAAAGTAAGAAAAATGAAAGTTTCAAAGAAGTAAGAGAGATACTAAGCTATTTTAAGGTCAAATTATTTAAATACCTGAAATATATCTTTTGTAGTTCATAAGATTTTCACTATAATCATGTAAGATGAGTTGGTGTACATTATTCTCATTTTACAGGTAAGGAACTTGAACTTGAGGATCTGAATAGTTAAGTGCAGATTAAGGAAAAGGACACAGGTTTTCCGACGGCAGGGGTCTCATTCTAGGCATATGGTGAAGGATGAATTTGAGTTGCTTTCAATGTTGATTGCATGTTACAGCTTTCTGGGGAGTTTAGGGGAACACTAGTGCCTGAGCCACATCTTTAGAGATTTGCATTTGATTGACCTGAGGTGAGAATTGGTCTTTGGTATTTTTGTGATTCTGTTATGCAGTTGTAAGAGATCGCTCTGCTGGAAAGTTTGGTAGACTGAAAATTAAGAAACCTGAGGGTTCAGAACAGTTGTGTGACTATTGTGGCATCATAGGCAAGATTGTGTGAGTAAAAATTGAAATTCATAGCCTGCCTGCCTGCCTATGTAAATGTAATTTACATATAAATTACTGGAAATAAAATTTTTATAAAAGCACATTGAAAATACCAAAAAGAAAAAAATGACAGAAATATAATTCCATGATCACTGTTAATATTATTGGTAAAACACCAAAGAAATGACTTTGTTCAGTGTTTAGTCCTAATATCCAAAATAACTGTCACTGATGTGTATGCATATAGTAAAGGAATAATGAAGTTTATTTTATTTCTAGTTGAGTTCCTCTAATGAATCTCAGGAGAACATCAAAATATAAATCAAAACTAGTTATGAAAAGAACAACAGGGTAAAATTGAGAACAGCAGCAGAGTGTGTCTTCACCCCTTTATTCCTAGTAACTAACACAATAGTTGTCACTTATGAAGTTCCCACTAAATATGAAATTAATGAGTGTGCATATATTGTGAAGTTGCATAAGGCTGTTATAACATATTAGTGTGATTTCATGAGTTATAAATTTTGCATTAAATACTTGTAGCAATTTCATAATTGCTAATAGTTGGCTTTCTTTCAATGCCATCTGTTCTCTTATAGGACCTATACAAATCAGCCTTCTTTTATTTTGAAGGAATATTTTACAATGATAAACGATACCCTGAATGCAGAGACTTGAGCAGGTATAGTTTCTAAAATTTTCTCAAAGATTTTTCTATTTTTCATTCTCAAATAGTAATTATCTCCACAAACCCACTTACTGGTTTGTTAAGATCTTTGCCAAGGAATTATTTTGTCACATCGTTTTGTTGTTTGGTTGATCAAAATTTACCTTTCTCGAATTTTGAAGTATTTTCCAAGTTTTTACATCTGGTTGGCTTTGGTACTAGTATGTTAATAAAAATTTGTACCCCAGGAAGAAAATTTTCCTACCATATAAATACATAGACCATTTCAAGATCTATTTTTTTATTATTTTCACATTAGGTAATAGATATTGGGGGGGGGGAATACATGAGGAGAGAGAGAGGGTTTGTTTTTTTTTTAACTGAGGTAACATTGGTTTACACCATATGTGTATGATGTAGAGGTATAGGATCATACCCCGCAGGTCTCACACCACACCTGCCACCAAGACCCCCATAGTCCTCCGCCATAGTCCATTGTGCTCCCTTCCCACTTTACTCTCCATCCTCCCCCTTCTGGTAGCCTCAGTCTACAGATTTCTAGGGTTTTCTTACTGGTTGGCTTTAGCTGACTCTGTTTTGTTTCTGTGTATTCCACATGTAAGTGACACCATCATATTTTTGTCTTTCACCTTCTGACTTACTTTGCTTGGCACAATCCCTTCCAATTCCATCCATGTTGTTGGAAAGGTCAAGAATTCATCTTTTTTTTTTTTTTTAATTTAATGTAGCTGAGTAGCATTCCAATGAGTAGTATATGTACCACGTCTTTTTAGCCACTTTTCTGTTGATGGGCATTTAGGTTGTTTTCATAACTTGGTGATGCAGTGAATGTATATATGTTGGAGTGCATATATCCCTTTGAATTAGTGCTTTTGTATTCTTTGGTACATACCTAGAAGTGGATCTGCTGGCTCATATATGGTACATACCTTTTAAATATTTTCAGAAACCTCCATACCGTTTTCCTCCATACATTCCCACCAACAGTGAATGAGGGTTCATTTTCTCCATATCCTTGTCAACACTTGTTTCTGACCTTTTAGATATGAGCCATTCTCACAGGTGTGAGTTGCTAGCTCATTGTGGTTTTGACTTGTATTTCCCTGATAGTGAGCGACAATGAGCTTTTTATTCAGGTGCCTGTTGGCCATTGTATGTCTTCTTTGGAGAAATTACTTATTTAGCTTTTCTGCTTATTTTTTGATTGGGTTGTTTTCTTTTTTGTTGAGTTGTATGAGCTCTTTGTAGTTCTTGGATAATCAGCCCCTTGTTAGATGTATGACATGCAAAATTTTTCTCCCATTTAGTAGGGTGTATTTTTGTTCTAGTGATAGATTCTTTCACTGTGTAAAATGAAGTCCCAGTTGTTTATATTCTCAGCATCATTTTTTATTTTTTTGCATAGAAGAGCTGGGATGTGGGCCAAAGGTGCTGAGGGTGAGAGAATTCACCAGATACAGAGTGGGGAGAACAGCTGGATTTACTGAAATACACTGCTGAGGGAGCAGTGGGCGAAGCAGAAGAGGTCTGCTGCACCATATGTGATTCGAACTCAGGCCTTAGTGGTGACAGCACTGAGACTTAACCCCCAGGCTCCCAGGGAGGTTCAGCATTATTTTTTAATGCATTGTCTACTGTTTTAGAAATTGTAGTGCATCTTGTATTTAACTTTAGGTACAGCTAAAAAAAACTTAAGTCCTACTTGAACACTTTATCAATCTGTTGTCATTTTCAGGTGGTAACAGCAATCTTTCATTATTTTTCTGTTTGTCCTAAGTGAGTGGAGGGTGTGTGTGTGTGTGTGTGTGTGTGTGTGTGTGTGTGTGTGTGTGTGTGTGTGTGGTGTCATTTAGGATATAACATGAAAAATCTGTATGGATTTAAAAATTTCTAATATTTAAAAAAAAATACCTAGTATGTTGATTCAACTATAATATCACCACCAATATCCTAGAATCTAAAATATATTGTATGTATTTGAGTGTTTATAAACATTATCTTTCAGCATAACCATTTGTGTCTGTATTCCAATCAGCAGTCATACTTGATCTCAGCAATCCCAATGGTATAATCAATCAGGAACTTTTTGCGGGGGCTTTAACTATCAATATTTACCATATTAGAAATTGAAACTAAAATATTTAAAATAGTCATTTAAGGGCCTCCCCGGTGGCGCAGTGGTTGAGCTCTGGGTTGCGAAGCTGCCCACGGCCTCTGCAGTGCCGGTTCGATCCCCTGTTGCTCCCCGGCCACTGGAGGAGGGTCCCACATGGCGCGCAGACCTCTCCTGCCGCCTGCTGCTCCCCTCAGCAGTGTACTTTGGTCCTTCTGCCTGCTCTGCTCCCTGCTTTGGCGCTGGTGAATTCTCTCACCCTCCCGCGCTTCTGACTGTACCCAGTGCTTGCATAAATAAATAAATGAATAAATCTTTAAAAAAATAAATAAAATAGTCATTTAAGTCCCATAACTGTTAAGACAAATAACATTTTTTATGAAATACAACTTTTTCTAAAACAAAATGAGTGTCACTGGTACATATTTTTCTTTTTCTTTCTTTTTTTTTTTAAGATTTATTTATTTATTTGTTTGTTTATTTATATAAGCACTGGGTATAGTCAGAAGTGCAGGAGGGTGAGAGAATTCACCAGAGTCAGAGCAGGGAGCAGAACAGATAGACTGACGAAATACACTGCTGAGGGGAGCAGCGGGCGGCAGGAGAGGTCTGCGCGCCATGTGGGACCCTTGCCCTGCGGCTGGGGAGCAGCTGGGTATTGAACTGGTGCTGCAGAGGCTGTGGGCAGCTTCGCAACCCAGCGCTCAACCGCTGCGCCACTGGGGAGGCCCTGGTACATATTTTTCATTCAACCTGAAGCGATAACATACTCCATATGGCCAGAAAAGCAGTTATTTATGAAAGTTGAAAGGGCAAATGATATTTGAGGATTATTGTAAGGATAATTTTGATCTCATGAGGCCCTGCTGGGTGTCAGGAACTACACTTTGAGAACTGCTCTAATAGATGAAGAAAATTCAGAGTTCCATATTTCAATGTACATAAACTATAGTAATTTTCACATCAAGATGGCAACTGTCCAGTTAATTGAATGTCCCAGATTTTGTAAAATACTGGTCATAACCCTTTTTTGTCATGTTTAGGTTTTTTGTGGAGCAATGATAAATCTGTGTGTTCTCTTCTCCCTCTCCAGAACTATCATTGAGTGGTCAGAGTCCCATGACAGAGGCTATGGAAAGTTTCAGACTGCTAACATGGAAGACTTCACCTTCAATGACTTGTATATTAAACTGGGCTTTCCTTACTTGTACTGTCACCAGGGAGACTGTGAACATGTTGTCGTCATTACTGACATAAGGTAAGTGATAGCACAAATAACACTTTTCTGTTTGTTCTGTTTTTCTTTTACTTTTCATAGTAAAAACAGATTTCAGGTTTTTTTTGTTTTTTGGTTTTTTTTTTTTTTTTTTTTTTAATAAAAGTACTGTAATTATTGCAACTTGACTTTGGAGAAGCAAAAATAAGTGTTTGCTTTTCATGCAGTGACTGACTCTGCATCCTCTGTTTGTTACTTTGGAAAAGCTATATAATAAGAAAGATTGTTTTTTAGAGAGTTAAAATTTCAATGCTTTAAAAGCATCTCATTTGTATATTAGACAGCTAGTAGGCAGGTAGTAGTCATTCACATTGTATATCATATGAGTTTTCTGCTTTGCAAGTTTGCAACTATATTTCCAGGGTTTTTGTCTTTTTGCCAACATTTGAAGGAGGTAAAGAATCGGGAAAAAGTAATTTCTAATATTTGACATGTGAAGCTTTAATTCTTTGAAAAAGATTTATTGGGAGTGAGCTAACATAGTCTTAGCTGAGATTTAGGGATTAGTCATGTTGTATAGCTCCTATCTCTTCCTCTTTACGAAGGCTATTCATTTTATTAAGGACAAATATATAGAAATAAACCCTCCTGTATCCCCGGTTTGGTTCTAAGAGACAATTTTAAGTTTTTTTTTTTTTTAAAGATTTATTTATTTGTTTATACAAGCACTGGGTATAGTCAGAAGCGCAGGAGGGTGAGAGAATTCACCAGAGCCAGAGTGGGGAGCAGAGCAGGCAGAAGGACCGAAGCACACTGCTGAGGGGAGCAGCAGGCGGCAGGAGTGGTCTGCGCGCCATGTGGGACCCTCGCCTGCCGCCGGGGATCCAACCGGCGCTGCTGTGGCTACGGGCAGCTTCTCAGCCCAGCGTTCAACCGCTGTGCCACCAGGGGAGCCCTTTAAGTTTCTTTTTGTGGAGCAATGATATACTCCTGTTTTCATACCTGTAATAGGACCAGAAACTTTAGAAAGTCCCTGCTTCCACTGTTTTGGGGTCTTAGCCAGAGGTCTCCAAAAATTTACCTCCCATGCTCTTATTCTCAGGAAGCTACCAGAGGAAGTAGTTCACATGAAGAGTAAATCTTGAAAAAGCAAAACATGGAGTGCAGAGCAGAGTAGATAAAACATAAAAGGAACTGTTCGAATGATGGAAAAGAGGAATTCAAGGATGATGGCCTATAGAACAGGCCTATAGAACAGCTTAGTTCACAGACTGGCGTAAGATGGAGGACTCAGGAAGGAAGCTTGTCCAAGAAGAACTGGACTTCATGTATACGGAGTGTTTACCCTTTGTCGGAAAATAGGAAACTGAATTAGTGACAGGTACTGTGAAACCCAAGCAAACGCAAACATAAGAGAATTAGTTAGAGAACAATAAAGACACAATAAAGAACCTATAGTCACTACCAGTTTGGGTAGAAAGTAGTAAGGATTTGTCATAATTTAACCATTTAATATGTTTAATCAATGTTATAGTAGTTCTGTAGAGATGCTGAGGAGTTAAAGAAAAACAGTTATGAATGGAAAGTAGGGCCTCTCAAGTGGCACAGGGGTTATTAAGTCTCAGCACTATCAAGCTATTGCCAGCCCCTGCCGGGGAGCTAACCCACATGGCACAGCAGACCCCTCCTTTCTCACTGGATGCTCCCCTTAGCGGTGTCTTTTAGTAAATCAGCTGTTCTGCTCCCTACTCTGTCTCTGGTAACCCTCACCACCGCCCGTCCCCCCACCCCCCCCCCCCGCACCTCTGGTCTACATTGCAGTTCTTATATGCATAAGTAAATAAAAATAAATCTTAAAAACAAACAAACAAAAAAGAATGGAAGGCAGTCGTCCCTAGGGAAGGATTGCTAAAGCGAAAGCCAGAAGAGTTCATAAATCTCAGCCATTTATGACTTTCAAATTATTTCTTTGATCAGGTGTCCTTTAAATATTTTATAAGCTAGTCATCTTTTCCATTCAAATAAGTGGAATGTGTCTCAGATTTAGAATGAAGTGAAAGACAATCCTTACTTCTCTGGTGATTTTAGTTTTCTTTAGAGTGTAGACATGGCCTCCCCGGTGGTGCAGTGGTTGAGCACTGGGTTGCGAAGCTGCCTGCAGCCTCTGCAGCGCCAGTTCAATCCCCGGCTGCTCCCCGGCCACCGCCACCAGAGGAGGGTCCGCATGGCGCGCAGACCTCTCCTGCCACCCGCTGCTCCCCTCAGCAGTGTACTTCAGTCCTTCTGTCTGCTCTGCTCCCCGCTCTGGCTCTGGTGAATTCTCTCACCCTCCCACGCTTCTGACTATACCCAGTGCTTGTATAAATACATAAATAAATAAATAAATAACAATAAATCTAAAAAAAAAAAGTGTAGACATATTGCTGTGCACATTGTCATTCCTTAAACTTGAGGCAACTTGGAATGGCAATTTACACTTTTGCGATGTGGGATTTCTTTTAGGAATTTTTTAACATAATTTAGACTGTAAGTCATTTTTACCTTACAGGTGGGTTTAAAAATTCAATGCCATTCCATAGTTTAATAGTTGGTAAACTGTAAAGTACATTAGTCATTTTTTGATAGTGAAATTGATATATTGCTACCCTTACCCCCAAAAAGTCAAATTTTATCATTGTCAGGGACCTTTAGAGTAAGTACTCTTGTACAGTCTCCCTTCATTTTTCAGATGAAGAATCTGAAGGATTCACTCAAAGCCAGCCAACTGGTTAGTAACATAGTGGAGTTTGACTTCCACTTACAGCTTGTTAATTGTGGCACCTAAAACTGAAGTCCTATCAATTCACATTATATTTGGAGCCAGATTTGGATTTTAATAAAGGGGACAGTAAACAAGAGCTACGTTGTACAAAAACCTGTCGATCTAAGTAAAATAGCACTGAGTAGATTTGCTCAAACTGTGTTCATAAAAAGGCAGTTAAATGTTGATCAAAGGAAGGATTCTCCTATGGAAATATTCAAGAAATGCTGCATACAATATCTTCCTCTTAGTGTCACAGTGCACATAACCATAATGGGATTTGGGACATTTCACAGAAAAGAAAACCTTGTTTAAACACAGTGCTCTTTTGGAGGAAGTGTTCTGTTGAACACATTTGGTAAAGCCTGATGTAACATCAGTTATACCCAAATCTTTTGCAAGGCAAAAAATATATAATATGTTCTTGATGTTGAGGTGCAGGTCTAGTTAATTCTTTATAGCTTATAAGACTTTGCACTTTAATATGATTATTTTCTCATATACAAAAGGCTTGTGCATCATGATGACTGCTTGGATAGGACACTTTATCCCCTTCTTATCAAGAAGCATTGGCTATGGACCAGAAAGTGTTTTGTTTGTAAAATGTACACAGCCCGGTAAGTTATTTTTCCTCCTTGAGAGGTACTGACTTTCGATAATCAAGTACTTTTGATATTTGGTATTTTAGTTCTTTTCTCTATTTTGGATTTAAGGACTTCCACTTTGGGATATAAATGATATATAAACCTGATTTAAAAAGGTAGTAAGGGAAATACTGAAGTCAGTTTAGTTAAAACCATGTTTTTTTAAGTAATACAAAAATGAATTATCACATAACGGAAGTTCTGGGGTAGAACACCTTTCTTTCTGCCTCTGCAGTTTATACAAAATCAGCTTTATTCAGTTGCTCCTCAGTGAAAACAGGACACACCATCGCATTTATAAAAAATTTTCGCTTTATGTGATTCTGCATGATTTGATGAAACTGGGTCAAACATTTAGTGAGAAAGGAAAAATTAAGAATCACCAATTTGGGGCTCCCTACTGTGCATACTGATGATTGATAGGAAAACATATTTCAGAATTATCTGATCAAAATGGAAATCAGAAAAATGTATCATTGCATGAGATGCAGAATCTAGGTAAATAGAAAAATAGCATTTTAATCTTATGGCAACCAGTAACAGCTCCGGCCAAAAAAACAAAATCTCAGTTGAATAATGTAATCCCTATTTCCATTTGTATACTCTAACACTTTATCCTGATTTCTCGATAAAACAGCTATAGTTTTCTAATTAAACAGTACTAGTTTACCAATGCGAAAAATAAATGAAGTAAAAGTTTATCAGATCTGTAGCACTTTATGGTTTTTCAGATAGCCTATTACCAGAAAATTATGTTCATATTGTCAGATAATTGGAGAATGGCTTTGTCTCAGCAAAAGTGTATGTTTTCAAGTATTAATTTATAGTCTTCTCTACTTACCTTTAACAAGTCTTTCAGAGAAATATCATTCTACTATTTGGAGTACAGGTAGTGGACATATCTATATCTCGCTATGTAGAGGATTGCAGTGTATTTAGAATAAGGCAGTAGTGGGGATGTTCACATGTTGCTGCAGGCTTAACTTACAGCATGTAACTTTAAAGCATGAAGAAGTTGATTGTAATGAGGCAATTCCTTTTTTTTTTCCAAACCACAGATGGGTGACAAACAATGACAGTTTCGCACCAGAAGACCCATGTTTCTTTTGTGACGTTTGCTTCCGAATGCTCCACTATGATTCAGAAGGCAACAAGCTGGGGGAATTTCTCGCTTATCCTTATGTTGATCCTGGAACCTTTAATTAACAGCAAAAATGTGTCCTTGTGAAATTGTTTTCTTAAATGGCTACTTTATTTCCAAGAAATGCCATTAAGGAATAGGATCTACCTAAATAGTCTGCTGAAGTTATCCCCACAAGTTCAAATCCTAAAATTTCTTATAAAGTAACTTGACTGTAAAAATTTGGAAATCAAATTATTTTGATTTATTCCAAAGCATTTATTCCAAAGTAGATTTCTAGTGCTTTCTACCCATTTTTAAGTGAGCTGTTTTACTGGTTATAGAAGTGCTTACATATGCTGATTAGAAATCCTTTGTCAGATACATGCATCCTGCTTTTCTCCCAGTCTATGAAATCTATTCATTGTATCCAGAGAGCACTGTTAATGATAGATTCAATTAATGACACATCAGGTAACGAAAGTGTTTTGAAAATTCTTTGAGGAGTTTGGGCGCTACCCTGTACCATCAGGCTTCCAAGGTAAAGGTCCTTCAATTATTTGTAATAAAGATACAAATGGCTATTGTGTAATTTAACATCACAGTGGGCTCTTGTGATACTAAGCATACCAAACATTTTTAATTGAGTTAATAGTGAATGTAATAAGATCTTGTGTATGTATATACATGCCTATCTTCACAGAACATTTTTTTTTCATTTTTTAAAATTTTATATATTTTTTACATCATTTTTGCACAATGTATGCATTTTCATCTTGGTTGTAGTCCCCATACAATCCCCCCCCACACACACACATTGTGTCTCCGGTTTATAGTTGTTTGTTGATTATGATTTTTACTTTATTTTAATAATTAGTCTTTTCCTTGGTCCCTTATTTAGGTTTTCTAAATTCCTGCTGAGTGAGGCCATCTGGTATTTTTCTAGAACTAACATTTATATTGAAACTTGCTTGACAAGAATTTATGACTCATACTGAGTTGAAAAAGTTTATCAGTATTTTTATTAAGATTTTATGTAATATAACTACTGGGACATGGGAAACAAGGTCATATGGATTGATGGATATGGCTCACTTTATCTTTGGCAGTAATACCCAGTATTGTATAAGTAAAAAGAAACACAAGAATTTTTTGTGGCCCAGTTCTTTCATTCTTCTGGTTTCCCTCGTTCTGTCAGGATAAAGTTGGGCTCTATACCATCTGAGAATATTAGAGCTAACTACATTGATGTTATGTTCTCTGGGAACTTTTTTGGTGGAAAATAGTTTTAACTTTTTACGAATAGTATGTAAATTTCATTTTTAATGTATTATATTTAAATTTCACTTTCTCTCTTCTAGGTTATGTTTAAGCTCAACTGAATTCCACTTTCCTGGATGGCTAAGAACAAACATTTACCATGTAAATCAAAAACTGGTGAAGCCTATAATCCCATGTATTTAAAAGAGTTGACCATGAAATGTTTTATAGTAAGATTTATATGCTACATACGAAGTTGGTGTGTAGATTACAAACACCTATTTCCTGGTATGTCCAATGGTGGTGTCATTTACCTAAAGACTCAGTAGGCCAGAGAGTCAGTAGACCAGAGTCAGTATAAAGAATAGGCTCTCAGTGACTAGCTTTTGTCTAAATTTTTACTTTTCTGTTTCCAATGATATTGAGGTTAAAATTTCTGGGCAAAACTATAGATCATAAACATTCCATAGGTAAAAATTAAACCGTACTTATTAAGTCTTGTACTAGTATACAAGGACCTGTTTATTTTCGTTCATTTTTATATTCTCAAACAGCAAATTCCAGAAATTTTAGTGGATGACTTTACTACTGATGTTTTTAGTTTAGCCCTTGAAAATACTATCCTGCTGGTTCTTAAGGTTAACATTTTCACCAAAGTTACAAAGGCTGAGATACCTTGCTCTATTATTTTCTAGTTAAATCAAGAAGGGCAAACCAGATTAACCCCAGAACATGTTAATGTATTCTTTATCATTTATATATGTCAACCACAAAAGTTCAAATTAAAAGAAAAATCTAACTTTGAAATGAGTAGAAAGGTGTCCTCAATTGGGGATTTTATAGTTGCGAAATTCAACTTGAACACAACATGACTGTTTAACAGAATAAACAGTATGATCTTACATGCATTATTTTATCTACTGAAAATGCAAATACAAAAATAATCTCTAACTTAATAAATATTAAATGCAAATACAAAAATAATCTCTAAATAAATATTAGTGGCTAAACATGCACAAAAATCACTATCTAGGAAAGCAATGTCCTTGCAACTTTTTCAGGCTTTGAGATTCTTTAAGGGTAATTTGACTTTTCTCCCAATCAAATCACACTGGCTTTATCATCTGTAAAGTTAGAAAATTACAAGGCACAAACACAAAAACTGCGTCTATAGCAGCTTCTTAAGAAAGGTGTAATAATGGGCTTAGGAATTTCTAATAGGTCATACTTTGACAAATGGGACAAAGTAAGTTTAGTTAGTGCATCCCTCCAGAGCCTTTGCTTTTTGTTCAGGATTAAATGGTAAACTTCATCTTGGGCCTGACATCTTTAAACAGGTAAGTGTGTTGAGGGCCAAAAACTGGGTAAAATCTGTCATCCTTATTTGAAACCACAGGCTGTAACTGCTATTATAAGGTTTAAGGTATTCCAGTCAGGCTGTTTACACATACAAGGTCTCTCCTATTCAGGTTCTCTCTCCTATTGATGGTACATCTACAAAATTCAAAACTTGATTCTCCTAGTCTCTGCATAACTTACCCAGTGGTTTAAAAAGTGACAGGATGTAAGTATTGATTTTTATACATACAAAAAATATGTATAATGTCATTTAGTGACTTGTTCAGCTGGAGTTTTGACCAAATACACAATTTAGAATCGAGCCGATGCTCCTGAAAGTCCTTGATTATTATTCGTAACTTTTTCTGAGTGCATCAACCTATATGACAAATGGGGGTGAACATTAATAAACTGGTTAGACTAAAGCCTAGGTAAGCAAATATAGCCAGATTGCATAGTATCTTCAGAAGGTGGATGTTACATGGTTTCTTTTTTGGTAAAACTATGGATCTGTTGAGTCAAAGAACAAAGGGTGAACAAAAATATTTCCTTTATTTTTAACACTTTGAGCTTATGTTACCCTCTCCAAACAACACAATCTCTTTGACCAAGTCAACTAAGAAATTTCTCCCTCAGAAGCAAATCCAGAATTCCATCACACTTCATAACAAAGAATTACTAGTAGAGTTTAATAGAAAAATTCTTTAATCAAAACAAGTTTACATGTTGACATGTGGCTTAACTAGAATAAATCTATCCGGATTTAAATTGTTATTAAGGACCAAACAGATAATGATGGGTTTATATATAATGACAAGAGTTCCCGCAATACAGTGGGTCCTAGTTTAATTGTAAGACCTCACAAAAGCAGAACTCCAATTATTGAAATAAGAAATTTTTCATCTATAGATGAAAATAATTATCCAAAGGGTCAAACCTACAGTGCATCTCACATGCAAACACCGGTATTAAGCCTTTCCCCCATATTCATAGCTTCAAAACATGAGAAGTCTTTTTAGTTCTTGAAAATGACCAACTGACCTAATATTCAAAATACCTTAGAAATGCTATCCTTTTATTACCTTAAAATTTGTATTAACCTTGGTTCACCCTGATTTAGTCCATATACAGACTATCTACATTGTCTACTGCCTCTGAGTAATTGCTTCCACTTCTTTATAATCCTGTCACATGTATGATATAAAATGTAAGTTCCCTTCTGATATAACCTAGTTTCTTCCTTACATAGTATTTACTTTTATTTACTGTATAAGCATCATGGATTATTTTTCCCCAATTAAAAAAATACTTGTGATTTCCTTAATAAGTGTGACTTAAAAATTTTCAGAAACTCGAGACATTTCTCAAAAATAACGTTTTCTTTTAGTTTTCAGTTTTAGCTACTACTGCCTGTAAAGAATCTTACATGGTTGAACCCAAAAGCCAGATTCATTACAACATATACTCCCATTCCACTCTCTGCTTTAGTCACGTGATGTTTACTGAATTCCCTGCCACAAAACTAAATTACCTTCAAATATTAACATGAGTTTTGTACCTCAGCATTATCAGTTCAGTGTCAGTTGGATATCTAGTTGTCATACAAAAAGGCATACACACCACACATTGTTACAAAGCAGCAGGATAATGTAACACAATATAGACTGATTAAAATTAACTTTTGATAAAAGGAGTGAGTACTTGTATAGAAGTAACATTTTATCTACCATAAAAATGCATAACTTCTACAAAACCCACAAACAGTGAAAAGACAGTCTGGTAAACCCAAGATTTGTAAAAACTTCACAAAACCCACAGTATTTGGGGAAAGAGGAAGGTGTATACAAGTAGCTTTTTTTAAAATTTAACTTTTCTACTACCAATTACACATTAACATACACACACACACACACAAATTGAAAATATGCTACAACCAATGTCTGGAAAAGCAGTTTAACATTTCCCAAATGGATTTCCCCCACATTTATTGTATAATGTAGCTGTTAATACTGCACAAGTACAATTAGCAATGTTTAATTACTTTTAAACAAAGATAAAGGAATTTTCTCCCTCAAAACAACTTTTAAACATCAAAACCTATGCTTATAAAAATTTAGAACTTTCAGCTGTCTATTTCAAATGAAAAACATTACGAACTTCTCAAATGTTCTTTACATTCCAGGTACGTCAACCTAGGTATCTAGTGTGGACTCCTTTGGAGATATTTCAGTCTCTTTCTCTTCATTAGTGGGCCTAGAAGAAAAGGGGAAAGAAAGGTGTGACCACTGGGGTTAGGTATTTTCCCCCAGGAGGGAAAAAAATAATGCATTATGTTTTTAAAATCACCCAAAGTTTTCTTAATGTTGACTTGTATTTTTTATTCAAAATTTTTATTATTCCTAATTCTTTCTCCCAAAGTAATATGCAGAGTAAGAGAAATAATTCGGGGAACATCATGAACCAGACCCTTTGTATGAGTTTTCAATAAAATCCCAAGGTTTGATCACAAGAACTCCAAGGAACATCAATACTTTTTTAAAAATTGGATTCTTGGCTCCTCACTCTACCCTTCTACACAGTGGCAATTCAATTGTAAATAATCACATTTTCACCCTTATGATTTGCATTTAGCTTTCTGAATTCAGGAATTTACTAATGAAAATGTAATCCCCTACACAGATAACCTGAGAATATGAACATACTGAAACATGTCCTTACTTTTTCTTACTGCTGGCCTCGTGGTTGTCTCTGCTTTCTTCATTGCTATCCCCATTATGTTGTGGTTGATTACTGTCTTGAGCATCAGATCCTCCATTTAGAGTCTTTGAAACTTTTAGAAAGATTCAAAAGGGAAAACTGTTAAGAGTTTCTAATACTTTAAAATGTTCTCTAAAGATAACAAAAAACACATGATAAAAAATTTCTAACGTATTGAAGTATTTGAATACTTTATTTGAAATTACACTATAATCCTTTGGGTAGCTGAGACACAGAAAGAACTACATATGTGAATAGATAACAGAAGTGGATTATTCTAGCAGTTAGAAAAAATGGATCATAGTATTTTCTATTTATTACTATCTTAGAACAAAAAGTTTCAAATACACAGCTCAGAACAGGGGACTGATAACGGTACTACAATTAAGTTTTATTGATATATATTAGCAGGATATAATTTTTATTTATGGTAAAATAGCCTATCTGTAATTTTGCATCAAAATAATCGATATGGTCAGAGAACTTGATGGGGTTATAAAACAGCTCAAGTTGGGTGAAGGGAATGTGTTCATTTCATTCTACTTGAGTACAGATTAAAAAATTTTCCTAATTTAAATGAAGAGCAACTACTAAATAGTATTTTATTAACAAATTTGAAAATGATTTAAATGTTGAAAGTTGAGTACTACATTCTAAAGTGCCTTTTTGTCACTTAATGTGGATAAGGTATTGAGACTACATATCAAAGCCACTTAAAAATACTTTACTATCACATACCTGTTTGTTCCTTTTCTAGCTTTTTGTTTGGCCCTTTCTTCCCTTGATCTTTGGTTTTATTTGCTTCCTCATGCTGTCTTTGTTCGGCAAGAGACTTATTCAGCACTTGTGTGATCACAGAATCTCCTTCACCAACCAAAAACATATTCTTAAATTTGTTATACAACATTGTAGACTTTTCCATGATAACCTGACTGACTTTGAATCGCCGTATCTGAGAAAACAAAATATGTATTTTTCAGTGTTTTCCTAATTTTTTTTTTTTTTTTAAAGATTTATTTATTTATACAAGCACTGGGTACAGTCAGAAGCGCGGGAGAGAGAGCGAATCCACCAGAAACCAGAGGGGAGAATAGAGCAGGCAGACTGATGAAGTACACTGCTGAAGGGAGCAGTGGGCGGCAGGAGAGGTCTGCACGCCATGTGGGACCCTCACCCGGTGCCCGGGGATTGAACCGGAGCTGCAGAGGCTGCGGGCAGCTTCGCAACCCAGCGCTCAACCGCTGAACCACAGGGGAGGCCCGTTTTCCTAATTTTTAAATGTTACTTTTTAGTGAAGTGGTGATAAGGCAAGGCTAGTCTTTAATCTTCATGACTCATGATCACTTACTTTTTTCAGTGTGGTAATCATCTCTGTGTGTTTCTGAGCTTGCTGCATTGTGACCTGAAGTGAAGCAAGTTCATCCAAGGCCTCAATACATCTGTTCACATCCTTCATGATAAAATAGTAATTTCATAACTGTTATTCACTGGTTATAAATCTATAATCTATAATTTTTAAATCTTAAAACTCAGTACAAAATAACTAGCAATAATCCCTTTTACCTTAAATTTATACATATAAAATCATGTGATGAGACAATATGAAGCTTTAAGATACTGTATGTTTAAATGATATAAACACTTACAAGATTATCAATTTTGAGTGAATTTTTAATTTCAGCATGTATCCTTTGAAGTCGAGAATCCATTGATGTTTCTACAAATTAAAATGTGAAACACAGTAAATACTTTTTCAAAACCAGTATTTCTATATAATCTAATAAGATTTGGTAAAATTTTTAAATATTTAAAAGAAAGCTGCCTCTATCACTGTTATCGGCCTTTTAGTATTTTCTTTCAGGAAGCAACATCATGGAAGTAAAATATCGCCATCTAGGTGCATGTTTCTAAAATAGACTATACAATATTTAACTTGTCTATTCCAACTTTAAAATCCAGCTTTACAGATGTAATCAAAACCAGAACATTTGACACCAGATTTGTCAAAAATAGAAACATGAAGCTTTTGACAATTTACATTTAACTTCTGACAAAGACCTTAAAAATAAGTTCACTAGCTTATACTTGAAATGTAGTGTAGACAGAATTCATTAGTGATTTAAAAGTATATTTGTAGGTTTTAACAAAATGAGACTAATTTCAAAGGCTATATATGAGAAATTAAGTGTGTATAACTTCCTTTCTATGTATAGTTTTATATATCTTAGAAAGTGAAATAACTAACCTCGCTTCTTCTCCACTTTCTTAACTTCTGGCTTCTTTCCTTCATCTTTATTCTGCCTATCAAATGTTAACACAAATATTTCAAAACATTGGAACTCTGACAACTACTAATGTCCATAATCCTTTATGTAAAAATGAATGTTTTTCTTAGTAAGTCGGTAGCCTAGATCACAAAGAATTGACTTCAATTCTTAGGATTCTGCAATGCCACGGCATTATTGAGTATAAATAAAAATAATCCTCAAGACGTAAAAATTAGCATGCTAAAATAAACATCTTAATTTTTCAGTGGCACCACAAAATAATTTTAAAAGCCATCATGTGAAATTTTCCTTGCGTTAAAAGACTAACCTCAGGTTCAGTGGCCCTAGTGGGGAAAGGATGCCTAAAAATGTCTGTGGAGTCTAGATCACAATTAGAAAAAGGTAGCATGTCAAAAGAGACCAACTTGATTTTTCCCCACACGCTTCCAATGGGTAGATAATTTGAAGGATTTGAAGTTAGTTCAAGGTTAAATAGATGTTGAAGATAAAACTAATTAAGATGGCATTATTTTCTGCCAATGTATCAAACTTGAATAACATTCACTAACATTTACATACCATTTCACAAATGAAAAGGTACCATTTTACTGTAAACCACCAAAATAACTATTTAAAAACGAATTTTTAATAATTTCTAGCACATTGGCTTGGATGTTCAGTTCTTATTGCAAACCAATCAAAATAGACAAGAACAAAAAAATATCTAAAAATCAGTTTTTTTTAAAAAAAACTTTATTTTAAAATTTTGGTTACAGTTTCATTTTTTTCTTAACAAGTCTACTGCTTAATCTCTCAGGATTAAAAAAACAATTATTAAATTCTAAAGAATTAAACAACAAAGGAATGCCAAGGGAAGGGCACAACTGCCCCCATTCTCTGGGGTATAATAGCTATTCCAGTTTAACACCTAGCTTCAAAACAAAATGAATTAATATTTTCTAAATGAAATAATGTACAACCACCATCTTCATCTGAGCTTATTATAACTTTTAAACACAAAGCTTCATTGTAAGCTTGGTAAAAAAACTTTTAACAGGAATGTTGGCTGACCTTAATATGTAGTGTGTACCTTACAGGAAATGTTTTTTAACAATCATAACACAGTAATAATGCCATTAGTGAAGTCCTCAATTTAGAATCTGGAACATTCTTCCATCAAAGGGGGGGAAGGGGGAATTCAGTCCAATGAGTCTGTCTCGAGATCTTCATCTCTGGTTTGCTCCACTTGTATTCTCTTTTCAGAAACTGGATTAATGCTTTGAGCCCAAAATGAGATATATTTTTTATTACTGTAGATTACATGTTGTTTGGCTGGGAATACAATACAATAAACTTTATTTTGCATAATGCATTTCACACAAGCTGCATCTGAAATGCTTTACAGAGCAAAACTGTCCAAGTACAAAGTTTTGTAATAACAGGAGAAGGAAAGAAAACACAAATATTAGAATTTGAGAAAGTTACATTCGGAGGACATTCAAAAAGAAATTGAAACACATAAAGATAACTCTGAGATAATGAAGAAGGGTTGGGCTAGATTTACTAACCAACAACTAATTTTATAACTTAATTTGGGGAGCACAATGAAGTTAAAAACAATAGTCCAACAACTTTTCTGAAAGGATAGGAAAGGATAGGTAACAAAAAATAACTAATATTTACAGATAAGGTCAAAGTCTCTAACAGGTTAATAGGGAGCATAATTTCTGAGCTAGAAGTCAATTTTTAAATTACTCCCTCAAGCAGATGAAACTGCTTATATAGCCTCCAAACTAAGAAAGCAGATAATCAAATGCTATTCTATTAAAGACTTTCAGCTTACAAATATATGAAGAAAAATACAAAATTATTTCAGAAACTTAAAAGAATTTCACTGCTTATCATTCTACGTTTGTCTTAGTGACTTAGAGCATGTTTTTAAAAAATCACTTCACTAAAACAACAAAGAAAGTTTAGTCAGAATAATGCAAGACACTTCACAAAGAAACTTTTTTTTAGAGAAAGAACTAAGAAGTGACAGCTTAAAGATTACTAGGCAAACAAAATGTAATAAAACACATGAAAGCCTAATCATCACTGCCATTGCTATTTTCCTTTTAATAAAATTAAATAAAATTAAAAGGGAAACAAATTCCCCATAGTAATTAATAGTCTTCAAGTATCAAAACCTAAGAGGAATCAGTTCTAAATTTGACTTATGCAAATCCTGTTAGTCTTTAGATTTACTTTTAACTGGCTTCTTGGCTTTCCAACTGTGCTTTTGTTATTTTTGCTGGTTTGGTGGGGTGGGAGGCTTGCTGGTGGTAAGACAAAAATTTTGCATTCTTTTTCCACCAATATATTATCATCACTCTATTTACTATACAAATAAAAAAAAAAGTACATTTTTTGCAAAGTCACAACAGTTAAGTCCTATCTGTACTTTGTTTAAATTAAAAATAATTTCAGAGGGTGATTACCTCTGTGAATTTCATCCTTTTAACTGATATAAAAATGAAGCCTGAAACATGGTTATGATATACTGAAAGTTCTAACACATGGGAAGTCACTTCTTTGAAAGGATTCATAGGTCTGGAAAATGAGATTCTATTGTTTAAAAATGTCATGCTAGCTTAAAAAAGAAACCAAATTTAGAATAAAAAATACTTACTGCTCAGTTTCCATTTGCTCCTCTTGCTTGCGTTTTCTATCTGCTGCTTCTTTCTCATGTTGTCCTTTCAGCATATTCCTTCTATGAGCAGCCTGAAAGTTCCTTCCACCTTTTCTCTTCTGTTTTGAGAAGAATTAATTTAGTTAACTTTAAAGTCAGTAACTGATGCTTGTATGGAAAAAACTGATGCTTGGGTAGGAAAAAAGCAACTGTCAATAGTTTGTTTTTTTTTTTTTTTTTAATTTGTAATCAGGGAAATGTAAATCAAAACTACAATGAGATACCGTCCTACACCAGTGAGAATGGCACCTATTTAAGAAACTAGCAACAACAAATGTTGGCGAGGTAGTGGAGAAAAAGGAACTCTCCTGCATTGCTGGTGGGAGTGCAACTGTCAATAGTTTTAAGAGACAAACACTAATTATTAAAAAAAAAAAAAAATCCCACATTACTATGTTGCTGCTATATAAATTTACTTTCCCTTGATTTGGGGAATTATAATCTATGTTTGCTCTTCTATGTGTGCTTTCCTTCTGTTAAAGGAAATGGCAGGTTTCTGGCCTATACACTGATTTTGACTTCAGAGCCCATTTACTGACAT